CCGTTGGGCCGCCGGCCCGGAGCCCTGGAGAGGGCCTCGGCTCCAAGCGCGCGCCCTTCCTGCTCCTTCCCCTCCCCCTCTACCCTTCCCCCTCCCTCTCCGCAGGGACCCGAATGCCCGGATGAGAAGGGCGGCGGCACCGGCGCGAGCCCTTTGTCAGCCGCTGCCTCAGCCTAAGCTGGGGAGCCGGAAGCCTAAACGGAGAGCGAGGCCGCGACTTCTCGTCCCCTGGAGGCAGATAGCCAAACCTCCTTTTCTTGTTCGCAGTTAGCCTCTGCTGCTTCCGGATAATCTTAGTTCTTCGCTGTCTGCCCCCCGAAGCCCCTAGTTCTCCTCCACCGCTGCCTCCACCGCCCGCTTCCTGTTTATCCGCACTGCGCCTGCGCCGGAGACCGGCTCAGACCGGTCCCCTCAGCCCGACTCCCCCCCTCCTTCTTTTGGGCTAGCCTATTGAGCTTCATTTGGTAGGGGGAAATAGAACAGAGGATACGAGAAAAGCGGAAGATAATGAAGGTAATGGAGCGTACCATTTATGTTCGCCACCCTCTAGAACGAGCCGGGCGCCCTGGAACGGACCATTACCTCTCCTGAAGAAGGGGAGTATGGGAGGAGGCTGCAGCTGGTTGGAGCAATAGGGATGGGGGGTGAAAAAGAGGTGTTTACTCTCTCAATGCGCAGGCGCGGAAACGAAGCCTCTAGTTCTTAAAGAGGTAGGAAGAAACTGACCTATTTTCTATTGAGATTCTTCTAATAGGTTGTCTCATTACATCAGCCCGACCGAGGATCGGTTCTGTGAAGATAACATTCCAAGGAGCTCAGCTCACCCCTCTGCCTTGAATCATTTTCCCCTACCCCCAGCTTGGCGCTAACCCCTTTTTAAAAAAATTAAGTCGTTAATTCATTCCTTCGGCAGAGACCAGTTGAGCTTGCCTCTTGCTGGGCTCTTGGGCCACTATGAGCTCACAGTGTGGTGGTGGAGACAAGCAAGTACACGCACAATCCCCACAGGGTGTACCCAAGTGTTGCGGGAACTCAGAGGAGGAACTGACTTAATCCTCCTTTGGTGAGAGGTGGCAGACATGGCTTTGCTTTTGAGTTGGAACGTAAGGACGAGTAGGAGTGAGACTGAATAGAGGGGAAGTGAAGAGAGCACTCCAGGCTGGTGGGACAGAGTACAATTGTGGCGAGGGGTGAAAAGGCCTGGCATCTTTGGGAATGGGGAGCGTGAACTCTGTTTAAGGGAGAAGTGAAATCCTTGGGCCTTAGCATAGACATCATTTCCTTAAGGAATCCTTCCCTGGGCCCTAGATGGGCTTGGGTCCTCTTGCGGCCATTTGTGCTCAGAGCTCCCTGCAGTCCCGTCATAGGCACTTTATTTACATTTACGTCGGTTAAGAGATCTGTTTCAGCTTGCGAGGTGTAAATGTGAAATGAGCATCTCAGTCTCATTCTGATCATTAAGACTTAGTATTGTCAATATATTCAACTCCAGCGGTAGCCCAACTTGTAGCTCCAGGGGCTCTTATAGTCCCTCTTTCTTTTTAGTCCTGGGGTGTTGAGATGGGGGTTAGAGGCAAGCATTTTCTTAGGGGACCTCTTGTGATGCCAGTTGGAGGCCATAAGCAGCTTCAGTGGATATGGTGGTCTCTTGGAGGATTTGGGGTTATCATTCCAGCTGACCTCAGCCCTTAGTCTCATGACACTTTCATCTTTGCCTCATGCTTGGCAATTGCTAGCAAGTCAGCAGCCACTATTTCATCCACTGTCCAGACTCTGGGGTCCATGGCCTAGGCAAGATCCACTTTCCATATCTGCACCTTTCAAACTTGAAGGGAAATTCCTGCCACACACTCTCTCCCCAAACCACACCTCTACCCCCTAGTATCTCCAACAGGAACCAGAGGTTAGTAGGCCTATGATAAATACTTGTGGAATGAATGAAATAGGGCTCTGCACTCACAGTTTAAATTCTGATTAGAGAAACATACAATAATAAATTCAGTACATACACAGTGTCTCAGTTTGTAATAAGTGCCCTGAAGGGAGGAAATCAAGTAATAAGTGATAAAGAGTAACCACAGCAAGGAATGGCTACTTCAGATGGAAAAATAAGTAGTAATCTGTGAGTGAACCACGATAATGGCTTGGCCTAGGAAAGAGCAGTGGAGACAGGCAGTGCACCTTTGGTGGTGGAATTGTGATTGATTAAAGTAGTAGAGGGAGGGGGTGCCTACCTGGCACAGTTGGTAGAGCCTGGGAATCATGAGTGCAAGCCCCATGTTAGGCATAGAGATTACTTAAAATATAATAATAATAAAACAAAGGAGTAGAGGGAGAGGAAGAAATGAAGACTACTAAAGACCTGAGCAACCAGGTAGATGGTGTCATTTGTTAAGATGGAAAGACCAAAAAAGCATGAATCAAAGCTCCATTTTGAACATGTTGAGTTTTTTTCTCTGTCAAATAATATAAATAAAAATCTAGTTTTTTTGTATTATTTGACAGAGAGAGACACAGCAAGAGAGGGAACACAAACAGTGGGAGTGGGAGAGGGAGAGGGAGAAGCAGGCTCCCCACTGACCAAGGAGCTGGACTCAGGGCTTGATCCCAGGACCCTGGGATCATGACCTGAGCCGAAGGCAGACACTTAACAACTGAGCCACCCAGGCACTCCTAAAATTTTTTTTTTTAAAGATTTTTATTTATTTATTTTGAGAGAGAGAGAATGAGAGAGAGAGAACACATGAGATGGGGGGAGGGTCAGAGGGAGAAGCAGACTCCCTGCTGAGCAGGGAGCCTGATGCGGGACTCCATCCAGGGACTCCAGGATCATGACCTGAGCCGAAGGCAGCCGCCCAACCAACTGAGCCACCCAGGCGCCCCACTCCTAAAATTTTTTTAAAAATGGGGCACCTGGGTGGCTCAGTCCTGGGTGGCTCAGTCGGTTAAGCGTCTGCCTTCAGCTCAGGTCATGATCCCAGGGCCCTGGGATCAAGCCCTGAGTCCAGCTCCTTGGTCAGTGGGGAGCCTGCTTCTCCCTGTTCCTCTGCCCGCTGCTTCCCCTGCTTGTGTTTTCTCTCTCTCTCTCTCTCAAATAAATAAAAATCTTTTTAAAAAAATGAACATGTTAAGTTTGACCATTACAAGTCCACGTGAATATGTCAAATAGGCAATTGGATATATGGGTTTTGAAGCTCAGAATTCTGAGGATATAAATTTAGGAATCCCTTACATATAGATGGCGTTTAAAGCCAGGGGACTGGATGTGATTCGGAGAAGAGACTCAGGTCTGAGTTATGGGGCCCAACATTTAGAGTTCCAGGTGAAAAGGATGAGTCTCCAAAGCAGGTGCTGAGGAGCAGTGGCCAGAAAAGTAAGAGGAAAACCAGGAGAGTTGTGAAATACCGGAAGGCATGAAAGGAGTGTTTTAAGATGGAGCAGTTGACAACATTCAGAATCCAACCAGTGGCCAGAAAAAAATTAGAATGCCAACCTGCTGTTTTTTTCCGGATCCCATTTGTGTTCCCTGGCTCTGGGACACTTCTCACCTCACTCAGCCTCAGACTTCAACTTCCCTTAAACTTGAATCTACCCTAGAACATAGAGACAATCTCCATACCTGAGATACATACACACACTCACCATGCTCATTCATTCAATCATACAATTATACAATTATTGAATACCTACTATATGCTAGGCCTCAAGGATAGGATGGTGGGGGTAGGGGCAAGAAACCTAGTCCAGGCATTCAAGGAGCCCTCAGGAGCTTATAGTGTATCAAAGAAGACAATCACTCAAATAAATATATAGTGACAAATGGAGAAGTGCCACAAAGGAAAAGTATAGGGTACCATGAGAGCCTGTCACAGTGTCAACTTGTTTAGACTATGCATGATATGCATAGCATCCAACTTTCACGCACAAATCTTTACTATGTCTCAAGGCAACCCTGGACAGAGACTTGGAAACCCGGGTCTAGTCTCAATCCTCCTTTAAACTCACTAGGTGACGTTGAGCAGGTCTTCTCCCCTCTTTGGGCCTGTTTCCTTTTCTGTACAATGGAAGGCTGAGAGAAAAGACTAGACCACATGTTCTTAACTTCAGGTCCATGACTGGGCTTTAGGGATACAAAAATATATGGACAGTGGGCCCATAACTTCCATCAGATCCTTTAGAGGGGCTGTGACCCAAAGAAATCCAAGGGCTTATGGAGCAGATAGTTGTGTGATAATGTGAGCAGGAAACACAGGTGACAAAATGATGGCTTGTGGAAGTAAGTTTTTCTTTCTTGGACACCATACTCCTCCATTGACCTTGTCAATGTGTACAGTGATGGAAGAGAAGGCCTGATCCCCCTTCTATGGATGGTGAAGCTTAGTCACCATATAATGGTGCCCTAGAGAAGGATGGGAGGAACCTACCACTGGTGGCCCCTCTCCAGAAACAGAACAAAGAAAGGCAGCAATTCCACATAGGAAGTCTCTATTACCCTTTGTGTCACGTGCTCCATGGTGCCTCGGTCCACCCCATCTGATCCCTCATCATTCTTGGCTGGAGTATAGACACAAACTATATCCATATTGGAGGCAAGGTTGGGATGTTTACACAAAGGAACTTTATTTAGAAACTAAAGGGAATCCCCCCTCCAAAGAAAGCACTTTGAGGTTAACTAAGATGTCTGTAAGTTAGAAACTTTTTATTCAACTTGTAAGAATGTCTAGCCAAAAGACAGCTGGTTTGGCATAATCTTTGGGATATTAATACCCTGTCTCTCATCTCCTCTAAGGATGTGGGAGAGAGATTCACATGGGGACCTCTCTGAGGTCAGGTAGGTTTCCAACCCTTCCAGGACCTGTGTCTCAATCTCCTGGCCAAGGGTTGGCTATGCTATGGAAAAGAGAGGCACTTTCGTTGGAATCTAAAAGGCTACTGTAGGTGCAGGAATTAATGTTGTATGTGTGGAGCAGGAGGGACAAAAAGGCAGAGACAGCAGCCTGTGCATAGCCATTGTGTTTTATTGGATTGGTGTATTTTTTTATTTTACAAAATATACAGAGGAGCCAAAAATGCAAAGCAGTCAACAGTGTTCTGATGGGAAAGGGGGCTCCCTCAGGGCCCTTCCCCTCAGATCCTGACTGACTGGGAGGGTGAGCTAAATGGAACGAGCAGGTATATTAAAGGGTGGCAGCATGGCAAGAGTGGTCCCTGCCTTCTAGATGTGTACGGGGGCATCTCTGGGTAGACTGAATAGAGCAAAAGAAGACCCTAAGTCGGAATTGAGGAGACTACGTGGGGGGTTGGAATAGAGCCTGGGTAGATCAAAGATTCTAGTGAATGCCCCCTCACAGAGTTCAGATGCTATGCCTGCCTCCCTCCTTCCCCTTTCTTCTAAGGCATCCACTGGATGGTCCCTGACTCACTCCATGCCTCCAAGTCTAGAAGAAATGGTAAATGAAAACTTAACCCCCTTCAGAGAGGGTAGGCTGAAACTTTGGCAGGTATCAGCTGGCACATCTCCCATCCATATTCCCCTGCTGCTGCCACCACCCACACAAACAGGAAGGAAGGAATTCCAGGCATGAGCCAGACATCAGGATCCCAGGCTCTCCTGGAATACTGAGGAGAGTATGGAAATTTCTGGGGCATTTCCAAGGAGACAGAGTCTTCTGAAGGGCCTGGAACCCAAATTCTGATAGCCTGGGGGTGGTAGACCTATGGAGCTCAGAGCTATGGTCTGGCATGCCTGAGCTGTCACTGACAATCTCCAGGCCTTTCTGCACTCTACCCCAGCCACCTATGACCTAACCACCTGGCTCAGGCCTAAGATTTCTCCCTCTCCATTCCTGTCCCCCCTCCTATAAGGCTCTCAAAGGCCCTGGTCTGAAAGGCCAGTCAGTGCCATAGACAGAACAGACTCTCTGAGAAGGAAATCTTAGAGGAAATGCATATGAGATCAGGGATAGGGAAAGCACCATACCAGGAGACATTTTGTCTAGTGTTGTAGTTTCTAGAGTGGGGATGGAAAGTGGAGAACCGTTTATTTCCTATAACGGGGGTACCCTCAGCACTGAGTGTCAGGCAGGAAGGGGGTGGGAGCTGTTGGGAGTTGGGAACACCCCACAGATACACTCTGCCCATGCCCTGGCCCCTTTAGCTCCAGCAATCTGGACCACTGAATCCCCAGACTCTTAGATTCCTACAGCCCCCAGGGCCCAGCTAGGATGAGGACAGACCTGGGAAGAGAAGGGTGAGTTCCACCTGGACTAGGGCTAGAGTATAGTCCCCCCAGGGCAACTGACCCCCTTTCCTGGGGAGCTAGATGACATTGTCAAAGAGCTGCATGGACCTCATGATGTTCTCGTCCTGTAGCCATGGTGGGGGAGAGGCAGATTGGAGAGAGAGAGAGAAATAAAAAAGAGCTTATCAGGGACACAGAGAGGGACAGTCACTTGAAATGGGGACATTCAGAGAGAGAGAGAGGCGGCAAGGAAGGAGACACCCAGAGAGATCTGAAGTAGGGAAGGGACAGGCCTCCCCGAGTTGTGACGGAACAGGACTTGGGAGTGTGGGCAAGTTAGGGAGACGATACTCTGCCCAAAGGAGCTTTCTCCTACATCACTGAATTGGACCCTGAGTCCAGATCATGGAAATGTGGAGGGCAGGGGTCTGTACCTTTTGGCAAGACTCAATGAATTCCTCAATGGTCACCACGCCATCCTTGTTCCTGTCCATCTTCTGCAAAAAGGTAGTCAGGTGGAGAGAACAGGAGGGATGACAGGAGAGAGGCAGGCAGAACTCAGGTAAGTTCACTGCCAGGACCTTGCCTCCTTCCCTTCACTCCAGGACCCTCCAGCCTACCCAGTCCCAGGCACCTGGAAGAAGCTCTCCACGTGCTCCCTTGGGGCCTCCTCTCGAAGTGCAGGATAAGTATACTTGCCCATCATGTCATAGATGGATTTCATGATATCAAGCATTTCCTGTTAGGCCAGGAAAGAAAAGGATCCTTCCTCAGAGCCTCCAGCCTCCAAATCAGGAGGCCTAGAGCCTAGGGCAGACCTCACCCCTTGCTGGTGAAGCATGCATGGGTCACATTTTCCTCCTTAGGGCCCTATGCACCTCCCCCCACACATAAAAGCTCTCCAACTCTTCAGCTGCTCCACACCTCCTTGGTGATGCAGCCATCCTTGTTGAGGTCATACAAGTTGAAGGCCCAGTTTAGTCTGTCGTCTATGGTTCCCCGAAGAATCACCGACAAACCAGCCACAAAGTCCTGGGAAAGAGACAGGGGGGAACTGTATTTTCAGATACCCTTTACCCAATCCCCAATATGGGTTTGGCTTGTGGATCCTGGCCCTGAAGCGCCAAGAAGCAGGCCTCCCTGACCCACCTCCTCCAGCTCACCTCAAAACTGACGGAGCCATCATGGTTGGTGTCAAAGGCATTGAAGAGAAAAGTAGCATATGTGCTGGAGTCTGTAGGATAAGCGTGGATAAGTTTGGCTTTCAGACAGGAGAGGACTTCCTACTTCTATGGGGTTCCCCGAACCCCTCTTATTACTTGGCATTCCCAGCCCCTCCAGAACCCTCTCCCCAATTCAGCCTAGAGATGGACAGCTGCTTCCTCTCAGGCCTTGTCCCCTCACCTCCTTGAGGAAAGAACTGAGAGTAAATCTGCTTGAAGTTCTCCTCATTGACAATTCCACTGGGACATTCCTGGGAGTAGGGGGAAAGTTAGAAACCAGACCAAGTGCAGAAACAAAACCCCCTTCTACTCACCACCACCTACTCCATGCCAGAGGCTCCCAGAGAAGGAAAAGCTTCCTGTCTCGGGGGGGCTCACCATGTAGTTCTTTTAAGGAAGGCAAGACATTTCAGTGCACAAGTTTAAAACGGAAATAACCAGCAGGCCAGTCTACAGGCTCCACCTTGCCTCAAACTGGCAGGAGCCTTGGGCGAGAAGTTTGGTCTCTGGGGAAGAGGGGTCCCTCCTCCTCCCCTTCCCTCTCACATTCCCAAAGCATTCAGGCCAATCTTAGAAGTCCGGGATAGGCCCCGCCCCTCACCCAGTTTGGCCTTGCTTTGCACTCACATTCTTGAAGCCCCGGTACAGGACTTGCAATTCCTTGCGTGTGAACTTGGTTTGCTCCTGCAGCTGCTCCAGACCCTCTGGCCGGTGACACACCGTGGACAGTTCAAACTCATCCTCCACGCTGTCTGCAGGGGGGGCAGTGTGGGGAGGGGGGGACAGCCGCGCCTCAGGCCCGGCCTCCACGAACCCTCTTCAAAACCACCGACCCACCCATCCTCCCCATCTCCAACACCAGAGACCAGCCTGCCAGTTCCTTGGACCCCGGTCTGAGGATATCAAGGCAAGGAGAAGACGCTGGTCAGCTTCCAGGTCTATCAGGTGGCTGGGCCCATGGGCAGGCCTGGCCCTGGAGCCAGGGGTCCGACTCATCGCTGGCCCCTGGGCCCTTGACCCTCAGTTGAAGGGGAAGGCCCCCAGCCCCATCTTCATCCCAGGAAGGGAGGAGTAGAAAGAATAGGTTCAAGAGGAAGTGTCTGAGGGTCCAGGCTCTGGGCCTTCCCTGACCCACTCAGATCCCCCCAGCCCCACACTTGCCCCGCCCAGATCCTTCTCTCCAGCCAATCCCCGCCTATCCCAGCCATGCTCGAGCCATGCCCCGCCCAGCTCCAGCCAAGCCCATCCAGACCCCACCCCTACCCTGCTCCCAGTAAACCTTAGCTAAGGCTTCATCCCTGGCCCCATCTCAGTCCTGCCCCAGGCTCCCAACATCCAGTCCCCAGGCAAGTGCCCCACCCCACGCTCCCGAAGGCCCCCGCCCCCGCCCCCACCGGGACAGTAAGTCACCTGGGTCCAGCGGGCGGGGTCTGTGGGGGCGGAGGGAAGCTGGGACTGCTAATGCTGAAGGGAGCGAACTGTCACCGAGAAAGTGGAAGACCCGGCCAACTGCAGACACACACCTCGCCCCTCACACGCAACAGCAAATCTCACAGACCTGCGTGTTACAATGCACACACACCCAGCCCCGCGCGCAGAGGCACAAATAATGAACGAGCACAGACACACACGAAACGGACCCCACAAACACATGCTTGTGGGACTCACGCCTGTCATTTTCCCGAATCTACCCGCATGTGGGACCCAGTGGAATCAAACACAATGACACTCTCAAATAACTACAAGATGGGTCTCTGTGGCTTGCAAAATTCAGTATGATCCTATGGGGTGGGCAAGGCCCAATTGAGGAAACAGGCCTGGAGACAAAGTGAGGCCACTCAACTCGGGACCGGCTGGGACTAGAAAACCCAAGTGCCCTGGCATTTGGAGGAAGGCGGGATCCATCGTAGGCACCTGCATCCATCCAGACAGGGCAGGGGCGACATGCATCTCGAGGCCCAAAACGTTCCCCAGGACAGAGCGGGCGGCCACAGTCGCAGACACTAAGCCACGCACAGACCTCACAGCAGTCTGGTCTTGCCCGGCCACAATGGCCATACCCACATAGTCTCAGGCCTCAGCCCTGCCACACTGGCCACGCCCAAACACCCGGGCTGACTCATTTTGCTGACCTGTGACGCCCACAGACACTTGGGCCCCGCCCCCAAACTGGCCCCGCCCCACATTCCGCTTGCTCCTGGCACTGAAGCTACGCCCTCCCCACACTGGGACCTACCGGCGCCCACCCCCCCGCACACCGGTAACGCGCGCGCGCACACACACACACACACACACACACACGCAGGCCCGCTTCTGTCACACTGGTCACACCCCGACACATACGGGCCCCGCCCCCGGAAGCACAGGAGAGGCACTTGCTTTCACTGACTGAGGGAAGGGCCTGGGGCCCGCAGCAAGGCAGCAGCTTGAGGAACCGCTGCTTCAGCGCTTTTTTAGTGGGCCCTGGCGGGTGGCCTGGGAAGAGAGAAGACCCCAGGGAGGCACATTAACCTTTACTATCCCTCCGTTCCCCTCCCCACCATCACAAATCAACCCTGAGGTGAAGGGGTGTTGGGAGAGGACTGGAGGAGAATGGTGAGAATAGCTGGGGCTGGGCTAGGGGACCCCAGTGGGTTTCACAGGCATAAAAAGTCCACTCAGGCATCTTGTATAATGGGACGCAGTTGGGGACAGTGAGGCCACCAAGGGGAGGTGGCACTGGCCTCAGTGCCTGCTGACCCAGTGCCCTTGGCTCCAGTGCTATAGCTGGACCTCTGAGGGTGATGTCCAACCCAAGGACTGCCTGGGTAGGAACACCTCTCTGTCTCTGTCTCTCTCTCTCTCTCTCACACACACACAGTGACAAGCGTGTACAGTGACACATAGAATGATAAATCACAGTGATGGATGCCACACAGGGACAGCTTGATACCCAGCAACTCACTCAAACCCAACGGCCTAATCAAGCAGGCCCCAACACATGCACACATACACAGGTACACACACACTTTGACATATAATTCCTTAATACAAACATATACAAATGTAGCCTAGGAAAAACGACACATACATATGAGGACCCACATAGGCCATCTTACATGCAGCATGATCAAACCATACAAAAACACATGGGACATCATGACATGGTGTGTTAAGGACACTATAATACACTGTGACCCCCTATAACATTATGACACATATCAAGGTCACCACGACACATACCCATATCATATTGTGACTTAGGTGCCCAGATACCTAAGACTGCACATCACCAACAGAACCCATGTTTGTTCTGCCCACCTTTCCTTCCTATAACCCCTCATCCCAGAGCACCTGGAATCTCCGTACCAGTGGAACAAAGTTCCTCATCAGCTAATTCATCCACCCTAAAAGTGTGTCCCCTCTCATGTCTTTGAAGATGACATGATAGCAAACTTTGAAGCAATAACAGACCTTGGAGATGAGTATTTTTTGTAATGTGGGGCTATCCAGGGCCACTGACCACAGCTCCCCTCACTTCCCCTTATTTACACCTGTGTCCTACAGCTCTAATTGCATCCCAGGGAGGGTTCTGCGTTGGTGTGCCTGTCTCCCGCAGCACCCACCTCCAGACTCCAGGACCAGAGTCCACAGGGCCCTAGCACACTGATCAGTCCATTCCTGGAGGGGCCCAACTTCCTTGGGTTGTAGGTTACTAGGGCATCCCAGCTCCCACGCAGGCCCCGCCCCCCAAACCAGGCTCCACCCTTCAGGACCCGGCCCTACTCCCGGGAGGTAACTGCTTAAAGTCAACCCCCCTTATACTTCCTCTCTTCCCTTCCCCTCGCAGAGCTATGGCGAGGTAGGAGGGAGACCATGGGCCGAGTGGGGGATCGATGGCGGCCTGGCCCCCAGCCCAGGGCTCCATTAGCCCCGACTTTGGTTTCCCGAAGCCGTATTGCGTCTGGGGCCTCCGGTGGTGTGGTCGCAGCTGGACTGGGAAGGGCGGGGGAGGGGGACGGCACCCCCGCCTCTCCCAACCTTCCCGTCTTCACACTTCCCCCCCTTCCCTGGTCCCCTCCCTGCTCCCAGGACTCCGTTTCCTCTAGGCTCCCCTGAAAGATGGGAAGGGAAAGGGCTGCCTTCAGCCTACAGAACACATGGGTTTCCAGGATGACCCCTCTTCCCACCAAACAGTCTAAAGGGCATGGCACGTCAGAGCCAAATGGACTTCATCGTTTCAGGACTGGATGAACCCCAGTTCATCTAGGACCAACCTTCTCCCCACCCCACTCCGATAAATGCAGCAGAGGATGGAAGGTGAGCTGGGGGTTTCCTGCTCTTACTGAACCCTAGAGCAGGCAATTCATTGGCCCTTCCCCTCGTCTCCAGCTCCCTTCACATCTTGTCAGTTCTCCCCGGTGTTTACCCTATAACCCTCCTATCACTGTTCTTGCCTATTTTCCTGTCCCTGGTGGGACTAGAGAATAGCTGTGCTATGGAGCTGCCCAGTTCTTGGTGTGAAGAGGAGGGAGAGGCCAAATCTCTCAGGGGAGGCAGAACATGCTCCCCTCTATATCTCCAATATCACTCTCTCCACTCGACTTTGGGGTGATGTGGAGAATTGATTTCTCATTCCCAGTGCCCAGGCCCTGGAGATTCTGAGACAAACTGGGAGGGCAAGGGGGCCTGGGAAGCAAGGTCCCTGATCTGTTCTACCCCTCACCCTCCTGCCAGAGCTGATCTATAAACGTCTCATTCACAGCGTTCCCACTCGTGTCCCTCCTGAACCCACCCCCATCCCAAGCCTTGAGTATGGAGCTGGCATTTTCTCAGGGAACTCTGGGAACAGCCACACACACACGATCCAGTACCCAAAGGGGCCCAGCCACACAACCTGTCCCCCTCAGGCACAGTCATATTCACCATCTCACAAAGCCACATACTCTGTCCCTCTGACACATTAAATCACATCCCTGTCACATACAAAGACTCACCCAGTCACACACTTTGTCCTTTTTCACACAGATGAACACATGGTCACACCCCCTGTATCTCTCACACGGAGTCCATGCACACTCTGTAACCTACACCTGCAAGGATGGAAGTGTGGAGAGTCACACACGTCTTCAGAGCCATGGTGGGCCCCTGGCCCCAAAGGGACTCCCCAGAAGTCTGGTGTTATCTCAGGATCCCTGGAACCTCCTTCCTCTACTCCTGATAGCCCTGCCTGTTTCCAGACCTCTCCTCATGTCCCCGATAGATTCCCCTCATCTCCATACCCCAGTCCTCCCATGCTGTGCCCCTCATGACCCCTCCAAAACACCGTGGCCCCTGGCCCTCTCTCTTCACCTCCCTCAGACACCCAGCCCCCAGATTCCCTCCTCACCTCCCCCAGAAGCCCTGTCCCATCACTAACATGCTTACCCCTGCCCCCAGTCATAAAAGCAGAGTGACCCCCTCCCCAGTGCTGCGGGCGGTTGCTTCTCCAGTCAGCAGCCCAGACACAGCCAGACACCTGGGTTACCTTCCAAGGAGACAGGCTCAAAAAGGCCAAACTGCTCCAGGACCTTGACAAACAGGGCGAGGACCACAAGCACAGCAACCATCTCCAGCCCTTCCAGGTTCATGGTGGGCCTGGGGCATGGCCCCCACCAGCTGAGGCTCAGACACACTGGCAGCCCTCCTCACACCACCTCCCCCTCAGGCTCCCCAGCCCGAGTAGGACCGCCTGCAGCCTCCCTCCCCCTCTCCCTCCCAGCATCTCCTCCCT